ATTTTGTTTTGAAGTGAACGTTCATTGAAAAGTGATAAGTTTAAAAGGGGAGTATGGAGTGTAGTAAAAACCAACAGCTTCCTTATCGGTGTTATGTATTTTAGATTAGCCTGGACTATGGTTTAATATGTTTGACTGATCATATGGGCTATATCATGAAAAACTTTAGTGCTAGTGGGACCAGGGATTTCTGAAGACAAAAAAATTATTATTTTGATAAGGTAGAATAATTTTCTGAACTTGACTTGATGGAGAGTTAGGAAAGGCATCTGCTTGTTTGGGTTGGGTTGATGGTGCATAGCCTAGTAATCCATCCTGTCTATTGGGAAAGTGATAAGAAAAGCTAAAACTTGTGGATTTAATATTTAAAACCTTTGGACGTATCCGTGGGACACGTCGTTTCTCTGCGGTCTGTCTAATATTAGGCCTGCTTACACGACGGTCGTGATGGCCGTCTTGTGCGACATTTTCTATTCAACGTTTGAACGAAAAAAGTATTGTCCACAAGCTTTTTGACTAGTTTCCAAAGCCACGTTATGACTCATCTTTATGTTCTTAATAGTAATGACCTGTGAAAATGGTTCACTTAAATTACTTTACAAAAGCAGTTGAGCTTATATCGGATGACTATCGAAACTTTTGTCATTTCTTTAACTACTATTCAGTATATCAAGGGTTACCTGGTTGAGAAGCAATTAAGAATAGAGAGTAGCCTCACGATATATCTTAGTGTGTTGGAATGGTATCAGTTATATCCTAATGCTTATCTGCAAACATATGGACATATTACTGATGAAACTTAGTTTAATTTCCCGCCAGGTTTAGTGATTCACTTTATTAAAAAAAACTGCCTGTTGGTCATTCCTTGTTAACATATCATCCAGCCTTATTCTGCTTTCTGCTCACGTCTCTGTATGTGCCCTAATCAGTAATTAAGACAAATAATGACGTTTTGGTTCCTTTAGACTAATAACAAACTACGGAGAAATATTTTCTAATCTAGTTTACATATTTCTGACTGATTTAAATATTCCTCTTGTAGATAGTGTGTTTACGGAAATGTAGGTGAATTAATAGGCTACTGTCTCTGAAATACCCATTTTATGGGGCGATAGAATGCTTGTTAAGAAAAATATTTGACAATAATGGATTTTATCAGAATGGGTTTTTTCAACCTGTGAAATTTCTAAAAATCTCCACAAAAAAACATTCTGATAATAATCAACTGCTCACTAGTGACTGACTTCAGGAGATATTTCTGGAGTTCTAGTGGGAAGCCATTACCAGTGGAGTCCAACCAGGTCTGTTGTGAGATATCAGCTCACTGAAGACAATGGTGTACGGTGGCGCAACTTCGTGGATTGGTTGAAGTTAGACATTAACACCGTTGGATGCCGGCTCAGTGGTCTAATGGCTAAGTACTCGCGCGCGAGAGCAGTAGATCCTGAGTTCGAATCCCGCGGCGTGTGGGGTCGTGGGTGCGCCCAGCTGGGGTCCCATACTAGGACGAAACGGCCGTCCAGTGCTCCCAGATTTTCCATATTGGTCTAGCTTCAATTGACTCATGATTTCAACCTGTGAAATAATTGATTTGTTTGTACTTCTAGATCAATTACATTTAGGTTAGATTTCTAATCTTACGTAACTATAAAATTGACCTCACGGGCAGAATTTACACAATAATCTTCAACCCAGTATAAAGTCTATCACAAAATGCATGCAAAACCATGCGTTTTAAATGGTTAAACTTGCTGTTTAAAGCAAGACTCTGAAACATGTTGACTAGTTTGTTTCTAGCCATAGGAAAATCTAAACATTTAGGTTGTACTTAAACTAAATGGTGATAACGTAGCGAAAATGTGGATGAGACGCTAATGAAGAGCGTCATTCAAATAAGGATAATATCGAGCAAGATTTTATTATTCATGCAATCGCATTTACTGTTCTTAGTGAAAATGAGTGAGCTGCAGCATAGTCGTCCACTTCAAAGTTACTAAGTATTATAATCTTTGAAACCTCAAACTGACATGAGTGTCTTCTGTTTCATGATGCGGACACACCTCATACATACAAAGATTGATTACGCGGCAGAAACAAGAACTTCGTTCTTCTTTAGTCATAGTTTTCAGAATACTCTAATAGGCTGAATAGCTGCGGTCATATTTCCAGCCTTTACATGTTGACCATACCGTACGGTGATCGTGTGCAACTCCATCACTTGAAATTTTCGACATTTCCTCATCTGAAAACCAGGCAGAACAATACTACTTGGTTAAAATATCTAGTCGAGTAATTTCACCAAAGTCCACTCCTTAACATGTTGTTTAGACTTAAAAGTGTTTTTGAAGATCACTTGTGTAAATGATAATAATATTGTAGACCGTCCCATTGTCACCGAAATCCCTGCTCTTGAAGGCTCTTCTGGAGTACGTTGCTACACGCTTATAATTAGATGAAACTAATCCTTACAACGCCGTTAATTTTAATAATCATTGAGGTTTTGCTATTGATCTGAAATACCGCTCACGAAACCTTTTGATTCAAGGAAAATTGTATGAATTTGGGTGTACTGTTGTTTCTGGAAAAGATTTCATTCAAAGATAAAATTAAAGTTGTACACAATTTTTCGTGGTGTCTTACAACATATTGTCGAAAATTCTGTCTAGGGAATATACAACTATTTCTGATTTGAAATTTTATTGAGATGCTTAAAGCAATTAATCTTAATAAGATGCTGAGTTCGGAAATGATTGAAATGTTGAAATATATAAGGGCAGTACGAGAAGAGAGTCAAAATACAGAGTGATACTCTAAAACGACTATGGTGTTTGATTGGACTAATGATTCCTTTGTACTTGTTGAATGTTTGATTTCGGATTCCAAATACAGTACATTCGTTTGTGCTTTTCTAGTACTTCTTGATCCAATTGCGTTATTTCTGGGATTCTTAATTCGTGCTATAACTCAAATACTCCTAATCATCATAACGACATATAGTGATCATGGACTAAAAAAGCGTTTCTGTTCTCCTAATAATACATTTAAAAGATTGTTGTTCATATCATTGTAATAAATGGCAGCAAACTAAATCATTTTAAACACGTTTATCTATTACCTAAGTTGCATAATCTAATTGTCGGTTCGTTCTAGTACGCTAAACTTTCAGACAATCAATTATTTGTGACCTGAACTAACTCGAGCCAACGCAACATAAAACACTCTATAATTATTTAGCCGATTAATTTTAAATTGTCTCTAATGTTTAGGTTAGTATTGGCTTTGACAAATACTGGTCGGTTATTTCAACTCACTCACATATGCATATGATTATTTACTGACAATTACTGATTATTCAGGCGTGCATTCGAAGTGTTACTTCAGTCTACACAAATAGCTAAATCATTTGAAAATATATTGTACTTTACGAAGTATTTTTTTACCGAGTTAGATATGTTATTCCTAAATGATCTCAAGCATCCCGTATTACTTCATTGTAATTGGGTGGACAACATTTTCCATAGTAGTTCATAAATATACACAGAATAAAACCGGTGACTTCCCTGAAAAGGTTAGTGTTTGAGTGTTCATTTCTTTACGAAGTTTCTTCTAATAAATGAATTAGTCTTTACAAAATACTGAGTTATCTATTTTCACAGCATTTAACAGGATTAATTTCACCTAATGTCATGTCACGAAAATAAGTATTGTTCTTAACTTTGATTTTATAGTTAACATCACGGAGTGATCTTATTCAAATATTCATTAAAAAACAGGAAGCTCTGGAAATCTTTTTCTTCCCATTACAGGATCATTCAGAAGTGTGTGTCCATTTTCCAACCAGGGACCTGATCCAGAAATTTAGTACTCTCGGTGGTTGCTTAACCAATAGGCCACTGAGTTGGTTTACATGCTTAGCTCCAGTCAGTCCGCGATATTGCGCAACTGTCACCAAACATCATCGGTGGGTAACTGATTCACACCCAGCATGGTTTAGCTCCGCTCGTCACGGATTCCTACCAGAAGTTCTAGAATAACCTCTCGAAACTACTCATTAGCGAGCATATGATTATTATTACTGTAAAACGTTGATAGAGATTGTTGGATTTTACAGCTAACATCACAGACCGAACTTAATAGACTTGCGGATAGGCACTGTTAAAGAGTTCCATACTACAAAGAAGTAGCTGTCCAGTGCTTCCTGATTTTCCATGTTTGTTTATCTACGATTAGTCTGTGATTTTAGCTATAAAGTTCAACAATCTTCATAAACCCATCACAATAATCTTAATTTCAATGTTAATCCAATTGATTATCATCAGTTAGTCCATATCTTTTACTTCAATTGGTCGAATTTACCTACTTAAAATGGAATAAGTCTTAAAAGTTTACAATCATTTTATCATTTCTTAAACGCCTACTTATTAATCTGATAAATGTTGCGAATAATGAGCGTAAATTCTATTCAACTTTATATATATATATATATATATATATATATATATATATATATATATATATATATATATATATTCGTCTTAAATAAATGTTTATTTGACCTCCCTATACTTAAAATCAAGTAATCATATTTAAGTTGAGGTCATAATACACTTCAATATGATTTTACATAACTGAAAACAAAAATGGATGAATCGATTTGCATAATTAAATTGTAGATTTTACTTTCATGTCAAGTTTTCCACAAAAATCCATGATGTTTTGAATTATTTTCAAGAAATAAATTATAAAACAATTTCATGCCAAAAAAAGAAATTTCTTCCAAAAGATTGAACATTTAATTTACATTAAATATCACCTTTTAAATTGTGATATTGAAGGTGAATATTTAATGCATTTATTCAGAACTTTAAAATCTGTTCCTAACATGGTAACAATTAATTTGGTGTTGTAATGATAATATAATGTATTAATGGACTGAGTATAAATTGCTCAATTGACAAGAAATTACTTTATGTTAATTAATATTTATTGATATACTAAGTATGAATTCAAGTGAATTAATTTTTATTGAAAGACCTCAAAGAATATTTCAAGATTGTATGTTACTTGTACAAAATTATACTTATATTCAAGAGCTGAAATGTTTATCATCTAAAATAATCGGTACAATAGTTGGTTATCTTATACCAATTTTTAGTATACCTTGTATCATGATTAATTTATTCATTGCTATTAATGTGATGATGAAAGGTAAAAAAGCATCACGTCAACTTATTTATATTGCTGGTATATGTTTATCAAGTGCAATAGCAAATATTATGTTTATATGGTTATGGCAGTATCCTTCTTATGGTTTACCGTATACAACAAATGGAACCAAATTTTTTTCATTCCTAAATATCTCTATTACTTCATGCCGTTTTCATCGTTTTATGTATTCATTCTCAGCAACATTGATGTGTAATATGCGTGTATGCGCTTCATTCGACAGATGTTTAGCTATATGGAAACCAATAAAGTTGAGAAAATTTCGTCATCATTATGCTTGGTATGTTTATGGAGTTGTCATTTTTATTAGTGCAGTACTAATGATACCATTTGCTACTGAAGTTAATTGGATACCGACAAAATACGGCTTGCAATGTTGGGTTCTGAGTACCAATGTATACATACAAATACATCATGCATTTCTTTCAAATTTAGGTCCTGTACAAACTATGATATTGATAGTAATTGATATAACATTTGCCTTCAAATTCCGTCAACAACTGAAAAAGCATAGAACAGATGGAATAGATGTTACAAGTAGTAAACAAATGCATCGTTATTTACTGTTGTTTATATCAGCTGTATCGTATAATATACTAGCTGCAACACAATGTATATTTTTACTGCTTGCACGTTTAGGTACTGTTAGTTTCATTAAATTTGAATCAGGTCTTGCTTATAACATATCAGATATTTTATGGTATTTAAACTCATTAAGAGAAGTACTTGATTTCGTCATTTATCATAGATGTTTTCATGTATTCAGTGGTATTACATCAAGAATATCTAAAATGTTTTCTTACAAATCAAAAGAAACTATTTCAATTAGTCGTGATATTAGTAAAATAAGTATTGCATCCGCCTACAATTATTAACTTGCACATTACTGATAACATATCTTTGTAACTGGAGACAATAAAAATAATGTAGAAATATATTTTAAACTTTTATATGTCCTAGTTATTGTATTAAATTCCTATCTTGTAGACCTATTGAAATGAAAACCTTCAGATTTACTATAATCAAATTTAGAAATTTTAAAATGTCCCTTAGTAAATCATTAAAAAGGAAGAATTTGAAGTAAATTCAATGTTTCGCCTGACAATCTGGTCCAAGCTTTTTCCTGATTAAATGTTTTAATTTTATGAGTATACCTGATTTTTAAATGAAATTAAATTTAAAGATAACTATTCATGATTTTTAAGCTAACTGAAAAATGCTTTACTTAGATGTTTGATAAATATCTGGTTAATTTGAATATCACGCTAACTATAGTTTGATGTAAACTTGAAAACTGTCAAAAATCTGTGTGAATCTTTCATTAATAAACAATAAATACTTTGCTGATAATAAACAGAGAAACCGTGGAATTTTCCATTTAGTAATATATCATTCATAATAGCATACGCGAACATGAACTTCTTTCATAGCTTAGTGAATTTCATAGGTCTAGCCTTTGTATTCCATATGTGCTATTAAGATAAGATTTCGTCCCAGATTCAGTTTATTAGAAAAAAACCTGAAACAAACAACGAAGGAAATCCACTGTACCATCGATGAAATAAAGACGATTCGATGATGAGACATTTTCCGACGATTTCATCTTACGATGTTCAATCGTATTTCTAATTAATATGTTTACTTAAAATGATAATCCATAATAAGATGGAAATGTGTCGTCATTAGGAACAATTATATCAACAATAATGTAAAGCTTTAAATACCGAACATAATGGTTTGAAATCAAATAAAGTGATGATTGATTTGACTACTTTAAGTGATTTATATCATTAGCTTATAAAAAAACCAAATATTGAAAGGAAGTTATATAGTGATTCAGGGGCTAGTGAAAAGTGTTAAGGTGAAAGTAGTTTATAGGTGAGTAATAGTTTTCTGTTTGATAAAAATTAAGAACAGAATGATTAAATGTTTTAATAATAGCTAATAAATAATCGTAAAATATGATTGAAAAGGACTCAAAAACGTAAGAGATTATTGAGAATGGACGATAGAAAGAAATGCTAAGACCACTGTAGAATGAGGGACTGAATAAGTTGTGTACGTAAACAAAGATTAGCCTTGAGTCGATGGATGGCTAATGCCCCTGCTGTACACGAGTTTTTATTCGCATTCTTCGAGAACCTATTCTTCCAGCTATAATTAACTTGGAAGAAAGGTCCCGGGAAAGCAGTAAAACCATAACTAACCAGCTATACCAGGATTAACCTCCGACTGACAATTTTAGCTTTTTAAATAACCAGCCGTGGTAAAATTAGAAAATCTTAGTAAAAAAACTCATTTATAACTCTTAGAATTTATTTAAAGGGAATCCTTTACCAATACCAATTATTTTGTTGATTATAGTCCCGGGATTTGTTTTTAACTTGGTTGCTTAACTCTGTCTACAGATTTCTTTATAACACTTGGCAATTAACGTAGTTAATGGGGGTTAGTTACCAGATTTTAAAAATCCCCAATAAAAGTATCTTTTCCTACATTCTTCGGTCCTTCTTCCTTTTATTCCAACGTTTATTATTTTTATTACTTCTGTTTTTTCGCCCACTCTCCTTTCTTTGTTTTTTCACTCTTTTTCTCACCTATTTATTTTCACTCTCCTCACTCTTCCGGAATTTTCCCTTCTTATTTTAATCTTCCTTTTTATTATTTTTATCCCAATTCTTCTCGCTTCATCTTTTCTTCTTTCTAGAATTCTTCTCTTCAAACTTGTTCCAGTCTTTTGCCTATGTTTCTTCCACATTGTTTTCTGTTCGTTCTCAAAAAGCATTTATGTCTTTAGCCTACAGTGAATACGAGAAAGTTAGATCTAGTAAAATGATCAGTTTTCGATTTAGCTTCATTAAATAAATGACATTTTAAAAAATTACTTTTAATCTATTATGAAGCTAAATACGTTCTTCACTTATTTCTGATAAATACGAAATCAGTTATTTTCAAGTTTCTTAAGAAAAAATAAAGTTCATTTATTCCGGCTTAAAAATAAAAAAAATTTAAAGTTCATAGAAGCGTTTGATTAATTTTGAAATAGCAATTTTGATTGTACGGTCTGTCAATTTAATCTCAAACAAAGGACTAGATGAAAATAATGCAATAATCCGTCAGCTTCTATGGTAACTAAATAATCTAATAATATATCAAATACTGAATGCTTTACGTAAAATAAAATAATTCAATACAGAGGTTGCATAAATAACTATATCATCAAAAATTATCTCGGATAACACTTAATCTAAAGGAGTTCTAATTGATGAGATGGTGATTTTTCGCTTTTTTGTTTATAATAATGACTTGATGATTGGATTTATCGACGTTGTTTACATTTGTATGTTTGTTTTATTAAAAAGAAGTTTGATTTTAAAACGTCGGACGGTTACTGAAAGAGAAAGCCATGTACAACAAGAAAGCTCTTCGAGGTCATGAGAAGTGTAGCTTTTTATCAATTGAAAATTATATATTATTCCCTATTTATTTGCATCAAATATGCTACAAATGTACGAATCACCTAGTTGGAAGGAAAACGGAATACGAATTTTTCTACCAATGTTTTAAGTAAAAAAACACATTCAACATGATTTTACATATTTTGTAAAGATCTTTTATCCTACATTAAATAATTAGTCCCTTAACATTAGCTAGACAAGAGATATTCCCCATAAAAGTTTCACTTCTCATTGAAAATTATCAAGATGCTGCCATATACACAGGCGTAATCCTCCGAAATTGCTAATCAGTTATTATGTAGACGAAAATCAGGTAAAAATGATACTCGTGTTCTGAATTATAACTGCCGCTATGTAACGTTACATTCAATGACATATTAACAAACAAGCTACGAACACTAATTTTTGTTACTATTTTCTGATAATCAGTTAATACAATTTAGTTAGATCACGAGAGATGTATGTCCAAAAATAGAAAAACTCTATAATTAATTTGGCAAAATGGAGACAATTCTTTTAGAAAAGGAATTACTATCGAATGATTATGTGGAAAATATGCTCTGATGTTGAATATCACGGAAAAATTGAAATTAATTTATTTTGAAAAGAATGATATATTCTTTTAACTAGTGTTCAAAAGTAATCGAATTTTAAAAAAGCTTAGTTAAACATTGAAATCGTCAACAAGTAATCAGTTCCAAGTACCGAAACAACTTTTAATTTGTTCAACAGGAATATGCAATTATACATGAGGATAATAAGATGTCAGTGTTTATAAAAGCCATCCTTTAACTTTCAGTTATTTTAACAAATATTGTGAATAGTTCCTATGTGTTTTTAACTGTTATTACAATTTATTGAAATCAACTTGAATGTTTTATATATTCTCATATTCATGAAAATCTTAATCATATTATACAATAACATTATCGCTAATATTTTAAAACTATTATTTCAATCATTAATAAGATCTCTCTCTATATATATACTCTCTGCATTCAGTATAAACTGATCATTTCAACTCATAAACTATTTACTATTCTCTGAACGATTTAATTATTAAGCATAACTACTATTATTAATTAATGAAACATGTTAGATTATATATTTGACATAGACAAAACCAATCAAATGAATTCATTATGTATTCTGTAAATATTATCATTGTTGGCTTATTTGAAAGTGTAGAAAAAGTAGTGTTTATGTTAAATTGTAAAATAGAAAAAATAAACTGGTTTGTTGAAAATTAAATTAATTTACACTGATTTTTAGATTGTTCTGTAGTACTATAAACAATCACAAATGTTTTATACAAACAGTTATATATACTTCACCTATTATGCTTATTAAGGAGAATTAATGCTGTAAATAAATCATAAATTAGGTGGATTACTTCTAAACATAAGTAAAATCACATTTACATCAGTTTGATTATATTCCACGAAATAAATTAACATGAGGTGTTTTATATTTGATACGTTTTGTCGATTGAATGCTACTTGTTATATCTGGTCGTCGCTGATTATCATGTCGGAATCGCTTATCACCTATATTTTCAAAACGAGGAACCACTGCAATTCCCATGAAGCGAAAGTAAGAACACAAAGACTGATACAAGTGAAGATTTATTAACCCTAAAACACGACGACGATCCTAGTCAAAAATACACTCACTTCGATTAATAGTTAGGATAAAATCCCATATATATAAAATGCCCAGAATTATAACAAGTCACATGCTGAGTATAGTTCATGTAAACTGAATACAAGAATAACGTATGTTATACAAGAATACAAAACATACTACATTGAGTAATCATTACATTGAATTAAAAACGGATGTAATATTCAACAAAAATCATAATGAGTAAATCAATTTAATTTTGACTTCTCATCCCGTCATATCAATGTTTCACTTACAAATATCATTGCCTCTATATTTCAAATAATTAGCCCATATATGACTTTGAAGTCATCGGATCTTAATATTATTTTCACTACTATGCATTTCATAATAATGATAAATACTTGTAATAAATAGTCGTTCTACAGTATACAGGTCAATTTCTGTGAATATACGTAGATAACCTCCAAGCGTATTAAGTTTTTAAATTAAATGAGATTTAGTTCGCTTTCATAAAATTCTATTCAGCTGACGTTGTAGCACACACCAACTCGAGTAAAAGTCCCAGTGATCTCAACTGCTTTATTATGGTAAAGAAAGCAAGGGAAAATAAAATGAAGTTCGTAGACTAATACAACGAAGTAGTATATAATTCTCAAGCCCTTTTTCAAGTCATAGTTTTAAAATACTTTTACCACAGATCAACGTATTGGTTGTGATTAACGTTATCTTGAACATCACAAAACCTTTACATCCAGAGAAAGATAGACAGTTCTGTTAGGCCACGTATGATTAGCATTAATCAGATAAAAACTAATCAAAATAAATGTA